TTACACATTGGTGACTGATGCTGTGATAGCCTGACTTCCTCCGCAGAGTTGTTCATGTAGACGTATGACAAAAATAAATTTTAGTGATATATCAAATATTTGTACGTACGTGCGCAATTAAAGCACATAAAAGTTGGCTATATTGTCTTTGTGATCAATCGTATTAAAGTTTACTTCCAGAACCGCTTCATTTTCTAGCTAGCGACAGCAATACCATGAGAGCCTTGTCTCCTGAGATATTCTTATGCCTGAAATTTGAGCAAAAGACCACTAATCGTTCTTTTTTTACAAGCATGTTTGAGACGCTTAATTATCTAGGAAAATCTGTATGAATCTCCCAACTCAGCATCAGAATAGGTTGCAAAAAGGCTACTTAAATGAAAGTTAGCATTCATCTTAAAAAGGTTTTATATAATACATTATGTAGTATAAAAATAAATCTTGTTTCACACTGCCACAGTCATTTAGCTGTCTATATTTTCATTTCATAGTCTAGCTAGATCACTTGTTGCCATGTATAAAGTGAAGTACATTCCTGTGTCCAACAAATGTATGATACGTTGTTTTATCTACACTACAAAAGATAGACTAGCGCTATCACTTTGCATGCACTGTTCAGGAAGTTTCCTGTTGGCTGTTCCTTATTCCAGTAAAGTATGCTGATTTTTGTTCTTGTCCTGGCCCGTCCTCTTCTCAGTTTCTCAAAGTTGAGCCTAGGAAACGCGGAGTGGCAAGAAAAGTCCGGCAGTCCCAAAGGCCTAGTTACCTTCATTCGTACAATGCTCATCTTGTCTGCCTGGAACTTAGGCGTTCAGCTTCTTCTTGCTGCAGGCTACTCTCTCGCGCACGCCGCTGCGTGTAATTCCGAATTTACTGAGCTGACGTCAGGCATTTGTGCTAAGATAGCACCACATTTTCCAGACATATGCTCAGCCGCAGAATATTGTGTTTCATTATCTTCTCTCAATGAGCCAGTCTCTCTGATAGGCTCAAAATACGATTTAGTTTCTCAAAAGCTGAATTTTAAAACCCCTTTCTGGGTCGGAATTCATGACCTTCTTATTCCACAAAATAACTCCAAATCTGACTGGCAATTCATTGACTCTTTAAGCAGCAATCGAATGAAGCCAAGCTATAAAATTGCATGGTCGCCGAACGAACCAGATGGTTATGCTATGGGCGAGCAATGTACAATATATGAATACAATGGTTTGAAGGACTACCCATGTACATTTAATAGAATAACTTGGAATGCTAGGGCCGTTTGTCAGCAATATCCAAACATGGAGATGGAAGGTAAAAACATTTACGATTCCTCCGTTCTTACTACGAAGCGATTTATACATAGTCTACCAAAAGAAGTGGTCGATATCTTTGGTCCCTTTTCGAATGGCTGCTATGGGGTAATTAACAATTCTGCAGATTCCCTCATTTCATGTGCTGTCAGGTGAGATTTGCAAATAGGCAATTTGGTGCCATTAGAGCCATTGTCCAATTTTTGTGTTAAGAGTTTAATCGGCTAGTAGAGCTTCGGTTGGTCCAATTGGTAGGGTT